GAAACTGATACCTGCCGGGAGAGGGAGAGCTGGTTGTCTTTAAGGGCATGACGTTAGATAGGTTAACCAGGCAGTAATGTATGAACACATACCAAAGGACATTTGGTGACACAAACGACTTGATAGGCCTTAATATATGACAGAGCACATGAAATCTGGCACGGGGGAGGGGTTAAGAGGCATGTAGATGGGGGACTATTAGAGGCATCTAAATACATTCAAAATGTTTTTTTATGAAATTCACAAATTCAATAAAAAAAGCAAATGATCTGGAAAAGTTAATGGTGACTGCACAGTAAATCATGTCATTTTAATTGCCCTAAACAATGAGAGACTGATACCACTTACAAAGCAATGTCAGCCAGGACACCAGCCATCAGCACCAACTTTCACTTAACACATCTCAAAACAGATCCACCTTCAAAGGCTACGGAGAATGGAAAAGCGTATCTATACTAGTGTTACTTCCTTTACTAATTCTATAGCAACTCCCCAGGCCATGTGAGTCACCCAAATTGTGCACCCTACAGACAAGTTAGCACCAGAATGGGGGCATGTATGAAGAGAATGGGGGCATGTATGAAGAGAATGGGGGCATGTATGAAGGCGAGGCAAGGATGTGGAAAAAATGCAACACTTGCATTGTGGTAGGAATATTTTTAAATGGTACAGCCACTTTGGAAGAATTTAGCAGTTAAAGTAAAACCACAGAAATTCTAATGCTAAATTTATGTGAGATGAAAACGTAGCCAGACACACAAAGACAAGTATAGGAACGTCTGTAGCGTCACTATTCAAAAACAAAAAAGTAGGCATGTTAAATGTCTGTAACAAGTGAGTAGACAGAGCCCAGCTTACCCACAATGAAAGCTTTCATCAGCCTAAGGCACTTAAGTACATACATGGTACAACACAAACAGCATACTATGAAGAAAGTGCTAGTCTACAAAATGCATGACTCTCCCTAGAAAGGAAAACGCATACAGACAGCGGATCAGCTGCACTGCCCTGGATGGGGCCAGGGGCAGGAATTAAGAACAGCAGCTCATGGAACTTCTCCAGTCTGGTGACAATGGTCTGCAACTGGATTGTGATGACATACCTCAGAATTTGCTAAATGACTGAATCATACGACTGTGTTTGGTGCATAAATTAGACTTTAAAGGAGTCATTATGGGACTAGGTCCTAGCTCTAGCATTATACCTTTAGCCCTCATTTAAAAAAAATTACTATTAGAACAAAATCTTAGGGAGACTATGTTAAAAGCTCTGGGTGGCAGCCCACTGATACAAATTCTAGTTAACTATTAGGACATCAGCATTCACCTGCGTGTTGCCTGTAAGGACCCCACCTCTTATCCTGTTCACAGCAGTTGCCATGGTCTGCTATGAGCCACAAAAAATGTGTAAAACCTCATCCTCTGCTTAAACCAGCATGGTCTTTTAGTCACTGTAGTCATTTGTCTTACATTATCTTATGCTGTACAGTATTTCTTTTTGGCAAAATCTCTTGCTTGGTATCACCCAGTTTTTTCATTAGATACAAAGTTTTCTCTGAGTATTTCATAACCTGAAAATTTTAATATTTATGTTGAACATGCTTTTAAATACAAACATACTTTCTAAATGCAAGTTTCTTTTTCTTCTTCCATGTTTTCGAATTAAGCCATTCCCACGATGTTCCTGGTAAGCTTCAAACACTTGCTTCAAATCACTTTGCACTATTGTGGCTGAAAATTCTTCTTTTCTCTTTGGTCCAGTCTTCTTTCCAGAGCAGGGCTGATTTCTAAGCTCAGTCTGTTCTCCTTTTAGTCAGTCTCCATCTTTTTTCATTCACTGACGATTTGCCAAAGAAGTAGTCACCTTCTCAGCCAGTCATTAAAACATTTTAGGGAGAGATGTAGCTCAGTTGGTAGAGTGCTTGCCTAGCACCCATGAAACACTAAATTCCATCTCTAGCACTGTGTAAACAGGACATGGTGGTTTGCCTCTGTCACCCCAGTATTCAGGAGGCAGAGGCAGAAGGAACATGAGTTCAAGGTCACTTCAGCTATACAGTGAGCTGAAGAACAGCCTAGGCCACATAAGACCCTGTCTCAAAAACAAAAATAAAACTTTAAAAAAAATCAACCCAGAGCTGAAGAGATGGCTCAGCAGTTAAGAGCACTGACTGCTCTTGCAGAGGACCAGGGTTTGATTTCCAGCACCACATGGTGGCTAACAACCGTTCGTTAACTCCAGTTCCAGGAGAATCCAATGCCTTCTTCTGACCTGCACAACATGGATGCACTTATATACATGCAGCCAATACACTCATACACATAAAATAAAGATAATAAGAAAATCAACTCAAGCAAGGCATGGTATTGCGTGCCTATATAATCCAGTACTTAGGAAGCCGGGAGGTGGAAGGGTTACAAACTGGGGAGACAGACAGGGATACACAGTGACTTGTTTTAAAATATCACAACAAAATCTACAATCTCATATGAAACGCTTGTAATCTATAGCAGATAGAAGTATAAAACTATCGATTAAGTGGAAACACTCTGCTGTGACGAGTCAAAGCACCTTATATTATAGCTTAAAAACCAAAGTTTAGGAGCTGGAGAGATGGCTCAGCACTGGCTGCTCTTGCAGTGGGCTTAGGTTCAATTCCCAGTACCTACATGGCAGCTAACAACCATCTGTAATGAGTTCCAGTTCCAGGGGATCTGATGCTCTCCTCTGTTCTCTGTGGGCATTGCACAACATGGGTGCACTTACATACATGTAAGCAATATACTCAAACATAAAATAAATATAATAAAATATTTTAAAAACAAGGTTTAAGTATGAGCTGCATTATGGTTTTGCAAAAAATTAAGCTGAAAGTAACATGCAACACCTGGGAGGAAGAAAACATGGGACCTACTTAACTTACACTTTTCAAAATCTCAGTTACAGCAAGTAAGGGCTGGGTGGGGGCATCGCTCAATTAGCTGGCAGAGGGCTTGCCAAACATGCACAAAGCCCTGGGTTTGATCCCCAGCACTGCATAAACCAGATGTGGTGGCGCACACTTCTAATTTCAGCACTTGGGAGATGGGGTAGGAGGATCAGAAGGCTCAAGGTCATACTTGGCTACACAGTGAGTTTGAAGATAGCCTGAACCTAAGAGTCTGCCTCAGAAAGAAGTAACTACAGAATAATTCTCTTTAAACAACTTTTCTTTAAAACTCCATAGAGAAAGACATTACCTTTTAAGTATTCCATTAGCTAAAAAGGCTTTGTTTTTTTCATCATAACTTATGACAGATTTAAAAATCAAACAATAAAAGAGAAGTCAAAAGCTGCATTAGCACCAAACATTGAGCCCTGGAGAAAAGTTGTTAAATAAGAGTTGGGTCAGCAGGAAATGTCACTTTCCAAACACTTAGTACAGAAAATAAGATGCCAAGAGTGCTCTAATAAAACAATTTCCAACTGTTAAAAGGTTTTAAAAAATGCCTCTATCTGCCTCCAGAGTCAGGTACAAATAAAGCTAACATTGTTAACCAAAATGGACTAGTAAACAAACAGTAAATAACAAAGATAAACCCAGAAAGAGGGATTTGTACTGCTAGAAAATTTCAAATTTAACTAAAAAATATCAAATTCCTTCCCCTTAAAATGAAAGGCAAATGTATCATAACTTCATTACATTTGTTTCTATGAAATAAAAATTATTGCTATGATTATAAAAATGGAGGCAAAAGAGTTCAGAAATATACTCAAGTTTATAATCAATTAAATGATGAGCCATAATTTGAACCTACTTCTGTTATATAGAAATCACAATTCAGGACTTATATCCTCAGTTATTAAGATATATGATAAATAGATCACATTTGAAAACACTTTATCATTACATTATCAAATTTGATAAAATTTTATCAAAACATCTCAGTATTCAATATAAACCATATTAAAAGTTTAAGGTAACATTAAAAAAAAAACTGAGGTGTCAGGTTAAGTATTTCTTATTAAATACACAATTTAACATTCAGAGCTACATAAATTCTTACTAAAAGTTGATTCAGTTTTACAAAGGCATACTTTGTGAACAAAAGTAAGTCTCCCCAACATCACTTTCCTTCTGTATTCCAAAATTCTCCTCCCAGGCCAACTCTCCGCTATCACTGATATGTCAAAATTACAGATTTCCAATCACACCCTGACATAAGCATACATCATTAACAGAAGCATACCTAAATGCCTCAGCAAAGTGGATGAAAGTAACTCAAACGTCTTACTGTCAAAGAAAAAAATAACTCCTCAGATCTTTGAGGGGAAAAAATAGTATATCTTGCTTAAGTAAGAATTCCCCAGGAAAGCTATTATGTGAAAGGTTTCCTATGGTTTTGTTTTGTATTTTTGAGACAGGGTTTCTGTAGCCCCAGCTGGCCTGGAGCTCCCTATGTAGATCAGGCAGGCCTTGATCTCACAGAGATCTGTCTACCTCCCAGTTTCCTATGTTTTGTTGAGTGAATTCACCTTCACTCATTAAAACTTTTTAAAAAAGTGAAGGACGCACACTCACAATGCCGTGCTATAGAACTACAGTATTAAGTAAAGCAGCGGAGTACAGTTGTAAACATTAATGTAGCAAGCAATACTTGGCATATCGTCTTCCCCCCAGTTTGCCATTACAATACTTTTCCATGAATAATCTTCCTGGAAAAGTCTTCAAGTATATTCTAGTTTAAAAACAAAAACAAACAAACAAACAAACAAACAAAAAAACAAAAAACAAAAAAACAAAACCAGCCGGGCGTGGTGGCGCATGCCTGTTGTCCCAGCACTTGGGAGGCAGAGGCAGGCAGATCTCTGTGAGTTCAAGGCCAGCCTGGTCTACATAGTGAGTTCCAGGCCAGCTGGGGCTACAGGGAGACCCTGTTTCAAAATGAACAACAAAACCCCCCAAAAATCCCCCCAAAACTAATACACTGAAACAATATGTGAAAGGATTTAGTCATGGCAACATTACTGAAGCTTTTATTGCCTCTGTTGGTAATGTGACAGGGATTGTAAGAAACACAATTGAACTTACAGAGATATGCAGATGATGTTCACTGAAGATAACTTGGACCTCAAGTATTTTTGTATGTGGGTACTTCTAATTTTATACATTTTACTATTTAAAAAGCATTACATTTTAAAATGTGACCTGTTCTAACATTTGGCAAAAGGAAAGTCCATCTGTGGTTCAGTCTGAAACAGAATTAGCGTGGGACTTGACCAGAATAAAGACTGAAGCCCATGAACTAAAGCATTTAAGTCGTGTGTGTGTGTGTGTGTGTGTGTGTGTGTGTGTGTCTGTCTTCCTCTCTGACTCACAGACACCCCCCACACCACAGTGTAACCATTTTTAGTACAAAACATTCCCTATAACCAGACACTTGTCCTCAGAATAATCACAACACATTAAATCAGTCTTCTCTTTTGAGCCCTAGTAATAGTTTTAATTCTATGATGACAGCATGGTGAACAGCCTTTACTTTTATGCTACATAATTATAGTCAAAGTTTTATGTATTTTTGTTTATAATTACACAGTAATTATAAATGTTTAGTACCAAACTGATGACAAATACTATTTTGTTGAAAAGGTTTTGCACTTAAAAGTAAAATCCGTAAAACCCAAGGCACTAGGCCACAACCAATATTAAGATTTTATGAGAAAAAAAAAATTATGTGGCAGGGAGAGAAGCTAATAGGAATCTTGCTTCCAACCAAGGCATACCTGAACCAATTCATCTGAAAACAACACCAGAACTCAAAACCTTCCAGACAGGAAGTAAACAATACATATATATCTTTAAATTTTTTTTCATAATTGAAGTTCTTCATATTTACAAAAATGAAATCAAGAAATACCGAAAACAGCAGGCTTCTTCTTTTTTCTTTTAATAACCAATTCCTAAAACACGAATAGAAATTTTCTAACTTTTCTTTTGGTAGACTTGCACTCCTAAATTAAAGTTATGATTGGAATGCTAATAATATTTCTATAAGATAAGATTTCTGTGTAATTTCAAAATCAGGTGAATAAAAAGCAGTTTTACTATGTCATTGTTTCTTAGAATCATTTCCATATCTGCATAAAATGTATTGCTACCCTGAAGTACATTCCTTTGTTAACTGGACCCTGGAGAAGACCTGGATACACCAAGCAAAACTTGTTCCTATCAAAGACAAGTTCCCCGCCCCCCCCCCTTTTTTTTTGTCTTTTTGAGACAGGGTCTCCCTGTAGCCCCAGCTGTCCTGGAACGCACTATGTAGACCAGGCTGGCCTTGAACTCACAGAGATCCGCCTGCCTCAGCCTCCCCAGTGCTGGGACTACAGGCGTGCGCCACCACGCCCGGCTCTTTTTCTTTTTTTTTGAGACAGGGTCTCCTTGTAGTCATACCTGGGCTGGTAATTGCTATGTTAAACAGGCTGGCCTCGGTCTCACAGAGATTCATCTGCCTCTGCTCCCACGTGGGACTACAGGCATGCACCACCACGCCCAGCTAGTTACCCATTTTTAACTCACCTTACAGAAACATTTATGAAGTGATTACACCCTCCTTCACATGTCAGTTTGTAAACAGAGAAACAAGCATTTTCAGCAGGAAAGCAATTCATGGGTCTTGTAATGAAAAAAATATAAACAAGATAGCATTCTGCTTTGATGTGAAAATAGCTAATGTGAATGAAACAAAAACAATCAAATAATTGATCAACACAGAAGCCAGATTGGCATTCTGCACCAGTGCACGCTTGTTTGGAAATCTCTGCTCCTGGAGTAAAGATCTGGCAAACCACAGTGATTTAGCAGTAAAGGAATTTCAACAAAATAAGAAGTCATCAAAAATGGAGTACTTGCCTGAAAGAGCAGTACCTACATGATGAAGATTGAACTTCATGGCTCATCACAACCATTTCCAAAATTTAAATCCTACTATTTTCTCATAAATTATAGAGACTTTCATCTGTGTTCCATAGTGCAATGACCAAAAAGAATGAAAACAAAACCCCCTAAAAAAAAAAAAAACCTCATGCCTGAATTTAGAATATTGTATTGTATTGCAATTGAAAACATTCAAAACAAATTAAATAGTTTAACTTATTCGAAAGGCATATAAGCATTTCAAAAGCATAATGAAATCCAATTTGTATTGTGTAATGCAGAGGGGAATGGAACCCAACATTAAGCCTCATTCCAGCATTTTCTAAATAAAAATTCCTTGCAGGACCACTGTGTATAAACACGGATAAGATAACTGCAGACTAATTCTGTGGAACCTTTTTTGAAACAGTCTGAAATACAATACATACTGCAGGTAGGCACCAAGTTATCCTAAAATCTTTTCATGTTGGTTATTTTGACATTTCTTGCATCAGATATATTCTATGCACATCTACAATATATGTGATTTTCCAGGAAAATTAAATTCCCCCAAACCGAACACCACCCGGAGTCGGCACAGTATTGAACCCCACTCTCATCAGAAGTGCTGTCAGCACAGTCTTTGCAACCAGCCCAAAGCATATATTTAAGAAGTTTTTATAGGTTGTTTGTGATGTTCATTATTACGTTTAATTCTTAGGCCAAACTGTTTTCTGATGAAGACAGCATTGTGCTTTATGCAAGAATGGAAACCTCAAAATAATCACCATAAAGCTTCTAAGACTTATGGGAGGACAAACTAAGATGGTCCACAGATATAAGATGAATCCACAATGTTGGAATTATAAATGTTTAGAGCGGCCCAGACTAGAAGACAAGCCCAAACCACCATTAGGAGAATGAAGTACGGTATGGTCCAAGATGTATCCTTAAAGTTTGTTTCAACCCTCATTTTGAATTGTGAGGATTGATCTTCAGTTCAGTCCAGCCAGCAGAAATTGACTGTGCAATTTTCCGTTGTATTTATTGTACAGACTATGTACATTCTAGAAGGTTCCTTTAGTGCTACACTGTTGTACTTTTTGTCCCAGCAATTTGAGGGCGTGCAAATTCCACAAAGTCATCAATAAGAACAGGCCATGCTCCTGGAAAAAAAAAAATGGGAGAAAAGGAATAATTAAAAAAAAAACCCAAAAAACCAAAAAACAGAAATAAAGCTGATATTTTAATATAATTATTTGTGTTTTATATTTTCCTTACAAGAGTTCAAGTATGTTACTCTTATCTATTCCCACTGATAAATCTTTCAAAACTTAATCTTTGTTTTCTATTTAAATATTCCTTGTCTTCTCTTCTAGCTCATTATTCCAAAATGGGATTATTGCTTGAGCAATGAAAATAACTCTTCTGGGGGCTAGAGATGGCACAGCAGTTAAGAGCACTGGCCACTCTTGCAGAGGACTGGGGTTCGATTCCCAGCACCCTCATGGCAGCTAACAGTCCGTAACTCCAGTTCTAGGGGATATAACACCCTCTTCTGATCTCTGGGCACTGCACGGCATGGATGCACTTATCTACATGCAGGCAAAATGCTTACATACGTAAAATAAAAATATTTTTTTTTTAAAAAGAAAATAACTTCTGGAAATCAATAATATTGTAATAGGGGTTTCAAAGGCTTTATTAAAGTTAGGCAACAGAAATAATGCTATAAAAACCAGCAGCCTATATGATAGTGTGGTACAATGATACAAGTCCTATAGTCATCAGAGAGAAACAAGTTTCCAGGTAGTTTATGACACTCTTACAAAGGAAATTAACAAGTGCCAAACTAGCCTATTGTAAGATAATAAATTACTAAATGATTTAAAACAGCACACTGCATGCCTCATCTACCTGCCAATGCTCCAAATCAGAAAGTTCTCTAACTCTGTGTAAAACGTAACAGAAAGTACCATTATCTGTCACATGCAAGAGTGAACATTTCTCACTTTGTAGTTAAGATTGTATAAACCAATGAAGGTGGGGAGGAGAAAGAGGATGATCCCTGGTTAGGCGTCAATGGTGCCAGGACTCAGAGAGAGGAAGCCCATTGGAGATTATTCACAGGATATCTCATAATCAATAATCTCAAAAAAAATAGTCTGCTGGTTCTCTGGAGGGCTAGGTAAACATGTGAGGACATTAACTGAAAGTGCTGCCACCTCCACAGACAGTGTGTGCGCTACAAGAGGAAGATGCACAGCCAACCATGCCTGAAGAGACTGCAGGGCAGCACCCAGCGGGTACTGGGTTGATGTCACTATGAACACACTAGGCAGCCAAAGTTGTTTCAAATTATGCAAACCCAGAGTATTTCACAAGTTTACAATCAAGTTTACAGACAAGACTAACAGAAAACAATGAAAGAATCTAGATTCAAGTAAATACCAAATACACTAAGAGAAAGTTTTTAAAGTTTTTTTGAAAAGATTTATTATTTCAATTATTTTATGTGTATGAATATTTGCGCCTGCATGTATTTATGTGTGCCATGTGTATGTCTCATGTCTATAGGTCAGAAGAGGGAGTCAGATCCCTTGGAACTGGAATTACAGATGGTTGTGAGCTCCCATTTGAGTGCTGGGAACCAAACCCAGGTCCTCTGTGAGAATAACCACTGAGCCATCACTTCAGCTCTGAGAATGTATTCTTAAAAGAAGCTGAAAATCTAAGATACAGATGAATGTTGCTCATACTTTTCTAAGGACATAAATACTGGTTAGATTTTTGTCTTCCTTTTTTCTGTAGTGCTTTGGATAAAACTCAGGGCCTTGTGCACACTAGGCAAGTGAGAGCTACACCTCCACCCTATTACTGGAATTTAAAGAAACTAAAGGACACAGATCTGCAAAAAGGACAAAGGCATCTTGTACTTTCAGGAGCCTCTAAGGAGGGGCTGGAATAACAGTTCAGTGTTACAGCAAATACTTAGTACATTCAAGGCCCTGGGTTAGATCTCCAGCACCAAAAACTAAAGATTATAAACAAAAGCACAGAAGAGGAAGCTCCACCTCTAAGGAAAAACAGTGGATGGAAGCTCAGGCAGGGCAAACGTTTTCGTTACCTTCTTCATCGTAATTGGACATGTCATCTGCAATCATTGTACTGAAGTCTAAAAGAAGATTCCAAGTGTCTTTTGGTATTGATCGTTTATGATGCTCCTATTTTAAAAAACAAAACCAAAAAACATTTAAACCATTGAAGACGGTCGAAAAAAAATTAGTGCAATTTCATGTAACACTTGTCTAATGAAATTCTGATGATCAAATTTCTCATTCTATGTTTATTATACGCTCTGAGATTAAGACATCTTGAAATATATTTAAGTACAGTATAATCAGTAGAAAACAGAGAAACTGCAGAAAATGTGAACTTACCAACAAAAATTTATTCCATAAGTCTAAGAATTTAAATCTTCCATTAAGCACTAAGTTCCAGTAAGCAATGGCCATTTCTAGATCTGTAATATTAAAAATAAATTATGTACTTTAATGTTATAAATATATGTCCCTGAAAAAGAACTGGTAAGACCAAAGAAAGTCTTGAGCTTGCATTCTGAGTATTATGTAGTGGAATTTTCTTAGAGTTAAGTCCAAGGTTTGCAATACGCTTCCTTCTCAATGAACTTCAGGGTAAGAATGATATCACTTACCTTACAGGCTATTCTGGGGTTGGAATCAGATGCTGTAGTTACATACATTTCTACAGGTAAGTATTCAAATGCAGAGGTGCATACCCAGGCATCTCAACATAACATTCTTAGTCTAACATTCTTAGTCAAGTAACTGTCTGCTGTACACAGGGGCTGTCATATGCAACATGTGAGCAATTTAGCAGCACCCAGGCCTTTACCCATCATATGTCAAAACTGCTTCACCAAAATATCCCCTACACTGCCAAAGACATTCTTGCCCAGGCTGAGAATCCCAGATGCACACCTACAGGTTGGAATGGAAAGGACTGCTCAAGTCCCAATCATCAAAACCCTATGCTCCAAAAGCTGGTGTCCAATTGGTCCTAACTACAAAGAGGCCCTGAAAACATTGATTTCAAATGCATAGGCCTGTCACCCTCCTGGTGCAGTGGTTTCATAAAATGCACAAGTCCCTGAGTTCAATCTTCATCACCATGAAAAAAAAAAAAAAGAATTTAGAAACTTAAAGAATAATAAATATTTTCTTTTAAATTTGCCCACGTCAACATAAATGGCTCTTTAACTTGGCATGGAGTAGAGAAGGCTGAAGCATTACTATGCCAACATCCACTGTGACAAAGCTATGCACCTGTTCCATGACCGAGATGAGTGGCATCTTCTTTAAGGCACTAAAGAGGTTCAGAAAATTGCCTAGCTTTTAGGAGTGAATTTACATTCCCATGGTAAATTACAATTCAAGAAACTTAAAATTTCATTCAGCTGTAATTCAAAACCACTCTTGGTAACCCAAGGAAGCCCAAAAAACTAGGAAAAACAAAGACAGGCAAATACTCAAACTTTTAAAAATAATAAAAAGATCCAGGGGACTATGGAGCATCTCTTAAAATGTCCTGTAACTGTGGTGAGTCATCTGTCCTCTTGTTCAGGGAGGCCATGGAGACCCCATGAGATGGACTTGAACCAGTGTCCAGTCTACAGAGAGGAGGGTCAACTCAGAGGAAACATTTCCTCCATGCTTCCAAGCAAAGCCAACCATGGTTGAGAAGGACCTTTGACTTATCTTCATATAGATGTAACTGGTAAAAGAAAGGAGCCAGGGGCTTCTCCCAAGCCCATGTGACCCCTGAGGAACAGATCCTCAAATGACCTTAAGACTGGTAAAAGAAAGGAGCCAGGGGCTCCTCCCAAGCCCGTGTGACCCCTGAGAAACAGATCCCCAAATGACTGTAAGTGTAAAAATAAATTGATTTATTTGGGCCAACTGTATGGGCTTACACACCCAAAAGGGAAGTATAACAAAAGAGTAAAGTCAACAGTATATTTCTTTAAGAATTCAAGGGATTACACTTCCCAGACATTAGGCTTAAGTCCATATAAAAAGTTATTTAGACAATTATGGCCAGGCGTGGTCTCCTGATTGATGATTTTGTTCCTAATCAGAAAGTGCTGCTCAGATATAAGACTTCAAATCTTGGTCTGCAATATGTAGTGCCCACCTATAGCTAAGGGAGACAACCTGCTATTGTTCTAAAATAGATATTTGCTTTCTCCCTCTCTCTAGAAGCCTTTGAGAGGGAACTGACACTGACTCTAATCACTCCAACAGCTATCAAAATACCTGAAAGCAAATCCTGAATAGCATGGTCTGACTTTTTTCTAGTTCCCTGTCTAGAACTTGCAATGCTAGTTTGCCTTTACTTCTCCTTCACATCTCCATTCATGATTCAAAGACTTTCTTTTCCCCTTAGAGATAAGAGTTATGCAATTTTGGCGTCTTTTAGATAGACCCACTGAAGGGGTACTCTAATTGCCTCACCCTGCATCCCTGTTCAGCATGGAAGAAGCCAGTGTTCTGCGTCCCAATTCCCTATCCGCAAGTTGGGTAACCCCTTTGGAGGATGGTGTGATAAGAATAGGAGGTAGGAATTGGCTAGGCAGTTAGGGTAAAAAGACCCCAAAGAAAAGTAGCCAGTTTCTTGGCTAAAACTCACAACGTCCTTGGGCCTCATAGCAACATACTCTGTTCCAAAGGCCAAAAATATCGAGAGTATTTGGGAGCTTTTATCTAATCCTTAAAAGATTTTAGGGTTATCTCTTCAGAGGAGGGAATGTTAGAGTAGCCAAAAGCTCCATTAAAAAAAAATAAATAAAAGAAGAGTACATGAGGTTATCAGGAAAAAGTGATGGGGAGATATGGGAGGAGTTGGAGGGGAGGGAGTGGGCATGGATTTGATCAAAACACCTTATGTACATGTATGAAATCCTCAAATTATTTTTTTAAAAAAGGAAATTGCACTACAACTGTCCCCTGAGAAGTCCGCACCCACGTTTGCCTCTGGTTGTGTACAGCTGTCCTTTTCTGAAACCTACCCTAACCCTCCTCTCCTCTATCTTCTGGTGCTTAAATCTATATTAAATCTTTTTCTTAATAAAGTTCAACTCTGCTTCAAAAATAAAAAATAAAAAAAGAAATGATGATTATTCACTGACAAAAACAGATAACTTGTAAGAAATAAAAATCACAAATGCTAGAAATCTAGAAGCGGCCATAAAAATAAATCATACGTGGCTGGGATACAGCTCAATGGTACAACACTTGTCTGGCATGCACAAGGTCAAGTTTAATCCCTAATCCCCCACAACAAAGAAATCACAGAGCCAACTTCTCTCATAAGGGTCTTACAATGGCAGAAGGAGAGATGTCAACCTCTCTAATGATATAAAAAACGTCTGTTCTATAAAGAAAACCTGAAACTTGGATAATGAATCAACTGACTACACGACCGTTTCTCCAAGTGGTCAGAGTAAGGACAAGTTGAAGGAAACATTACTATTCTGTCAATAATCCCAATCCAGTTATTATCTCTACAGGAACTATACAGGGAGAGGGAAGGCCAGCACAATACATTGCTTACAGAGTTAAGACACCTCACTCTTTGCTAATGTTTTTGCTGACAAAGACATTAAAAGAACCTCAAGAAGATAGTGAAACAACTTTTATCAACTCCATTTGATAATTTAAATAAATTTCAACTGATCTGGGAGCTGATTCGTCCTCTCTGGTATCTTTTGTATTCTCCCAAACCCCATAAACTGATTTCCCCCTCTGATTCTGTTATCCCCATTTGTCCTCCTTTCTGTGCCCCAGAATGCACAGCATCACACAAGTAAACTCACAGATTCCTGAGCTTTTCCAGAGACTGGTCCTCATTCTCCTTGTGCTCTATGAAGTTTGGATCTTCCCAAAGGACACTGATTTCCAGTGTCATTTTCCAGTAAGAGTGGTCATTTCCCCCTCCCTCAGGAGTATGTTTACTTTCTTAGACCACTATCATTACCTACAAATTATTATGCTTCTTTCTTTGTGGAAGCAATATCTGACCCATGAAATGCACACACCAGCTTGCTCTGTCACTTTAACCCATGTACCACTTCCATTGAAATCCTCCACATTCACTGATATCTTTAACAAAATGGTCCACAATCCTTCCTCATGTCACATTGTCATGAAGATCTTCGATGTCCATGTGAAACATCATTTAACCACTGTAGTTAGATTTGCCTGTACTAGTCCCTAAACAATACCTTCTAAAAGAGACTTCCCCCAAAAGATTACTGGAATTGAGCAGAATCAGTGAAGTTACAGGACCAATATGCAAAAATGAACACTGTTTTTGAAATAATAATAATGACCTTACTGAGAAAGAAATCATGGAAACAATCCTATTCACTATATCATAAAATTAAGTATCTGGGGAGCTGGAGAGATGGCTCAAGAGTTAAGAGCATTGGCTGCTCTTGCAGAGGATCTGGGTTCAATTCCCCGTACCTATATGGTGGCGAACAACTGTCTACAACTCCAGTTCCAGGGGATCCTATGCCCTTTCCTGACCTCTATGGGCACTGCATGACACAGGTGAACTTCACATGCAGGCAAAACATTCATATACATATAAATGAATGAATGAATAAATGAATAACATAGGAATAAATTTAACCATAGAAGAGAAAGGCCTCTACAACGAAAATTTTACAGACACTGATGGAACTGACATAAAAAGATGGAAAGATTTTCTATGCTCATGCATTAGAAAAATTAATATTGCTAAAATGTCCAAAAATACCTAAAGAATTAACAGATTCAATGTGATCTCTTTATCAAGAAACCAAGGACATTCTTCGCAGAATTAGGAAAATCAAACCTAAAATTCATATGGAAACACAAAGGATCCTGAATAAGGGTTTGGAGATACAGCTAAGTGGTAGACCACTCGCTTAGCATACACAAGGACAAGGTTCAATTTCCAGCACTGCAAAAACAAACAACAACAAGAACAAAACCAAACCAAACAAAAACCAGAATAGTCACAGCAATACTGAACAAAATAATAAAGTCTGGGTCAGGTAGGGCACTGCTGCACAAACCTGATAACCTGAATTCAATGCCTAGAAGCCACCAAGAGGTAGGAGAAAGTCTGCTTCACAAAGGTGTCCCTGACTGCCACACACATACACTATGGCACACATGCACCTGTAGGCACACATCATGCACACACAATAATAATAATAATTAATAATAATGATACATTTTTTAAAGTCAGAGGCATCACAATGCTTTATTTCAAGACATACTACAAAACTACAGTAACCAAAACAATATGATGCTGGCTTAAATCAGACACATATGACTGCACAGAATAAAGATTTTAGAAATAAAACCATGCATCTACAGCCAACTGATTCTGCTCAAAAGTTGCCAACAGCATATATTGAAAAGGACATCTTTAATAAATGGTGCTATGAAA